CATTCCGCCTTCGCAGTAGGTTAATCCAAAGTGGGCGACCATAAACAATTTGTTGGAAAACACATTTGGGATTAAGGCAAGCAAAATAAAAACGGGTGCAAATAAGAAGCATTTGAAATTGTGGCATTGAAAGGTTAGAACACAAAGCAGACACGCACGTGCTTCAACTATCAGAATTTGCCTACAACATAAGTAATGAAAATATTGTTGATGTCGGTTTGTTTGCTGCTGTGAATGTGCCAGACTCTGCGTGTGGTCAAAGCGTATTCAGTTACACCCATATATGCCTATATACATATGTGTGGATAGCGTTTCCATTTACATTTTGTTTACCTTTTACCGCATCGTTTTGTCTTATTTAGATGCCTCTGTCGGCAGCCGACCATAACTTTTTCATTTGACCGGTAACTACTTTCAACGCCTTTGACATGTCAAGCATGCTTAGATCAGCTTAACACATTTGCAAAGTGTGCATAAGTATTTATTTGAAATATTTCACTGTGTAAAAACTCTTGAAAACACTCTACAGTGATATCATCTAACATTCAAATAAACAAGGCACGTAGATAGATGTCCATATTTCTGTAATTTTTGATTTTAGTGATGATGAGGGTCCGGATTTCTATGCATTTATATATATATTTTCGTAAGACATAAGAATTTAAAGATTAACAAATTTTGCGAATCAAGAGTTTCGTGTTAAGATGATATCGATGTGTTAATGCATATTTCTACATATTTTGCCTTAAATACACATATAGGCATATTTTGCTAAAATAGCATATTTAATTCCATTTTCTATTAAACGCCGTTGTGTGAAAGTTGCAAGAGCATTTGATAATTTCATGCAACTATTGGGTACTGATGTCGTCGAAAATATTTTGCTGTCACGGGCGCAGCGCCATATATCGAGCACTAACCGCCAAAAAAAACATAAGCGACATTTTTTCAAAATTTTCGTTTTGATGTAGAATTGCATTTAGATGCTCTGCGGGCATTTTTGGAAAATATATCGCTTAAGTTTTTTT